GAACCTCCTAGCATCTGGCCTTCTTGGTGTCCTTGATTGTAGCCAGTCACTGGTTATAACTGCACAGTAAAGCCTGCTGGAGGTCGGGCTTTCAAAGGAGAGTTTTAAACATATTTGTAATGTTCCCTGATTTCCAAAATCACCGCAATTCGTAAGAAAAATAGTAATAATGTTCTTCATAAAAGTCATTTTGATGTACAAACCACAAGGTGGGTGCTCTCTCTCTCTCTCCCAACATGAAGACATTGCTGGGCTTTGATGTAATGTAGTAGAAGCATGCCTACTTAGCATTCGTGGGCCCTGGGTCCTATCCTTAGCACTGGGGAGAGAAAGAGGAAGAAAGGGAGAAGGCAGGAGAGAGAGAGAGCGCGAGAGTGAGAGCGAGAGCGAGAGCGAGAGAGAGAGAGAGAGAGAGAGAGAGAGAGAGAGAGAGAGAGCGGAGAGACTGGGGAGACGAGACAGCCCATTTGGTAGAGTGAGTGCCATGCAAGCATGAAGCCCTGGGTTCAATCCCCAGGCATGGTAGCATGCATTCGTAATCCCTGGGCTGGGGAGGGAGAGACAGGATGATCTCTGGGCCTCACTGGCCAGCCAGTCTAGCCAATCAGCAAACTCTGAGTTCGATGAGAGAAAGTAAGGTGAGTAGGAGTCGGAGAGATGGCCCAGTGGTTAGGAGCACTGGCTTTTCTTCCAGTAGGACCTGGTTTCCATTCCCAGCACCTACGTGGTGGCTCACCACAACCTGTAACTCCAGTTCCAGGGGATTTGACACCCTCTCTAGCCCCAGTGGGCACCAGGCACACAAGTCGTATACAGATATCCATGCAGCCAAAACATCCATGCACATAGATTTGTTTTAGGTTAATAAAATAAGATGATAAACAACTGAAGAAAACGTCTGACATTGATGTCACACACAGCACATATGCACACATGGAAGGGGAGGAAGGAACGGAGGAAGAAAGAGAGGAAGGAAGGGAAGGAAGGGAGGAAGGAAGGAAGAAGGAGGAAAGGAAGGAAGGGAGGGAAGGAATTGTAGAATCGTTTCATAATTTTTTTTTTTGCATACATTCCTTTGCATGGTCTCAGTAGCCCAGTGAGTCACATATTCAGATGGGACAAATAGTGTGTCAGGGCCAGTAGTAAAATGGAATTAGGTTTCCTTTATATAAACAGTTACTAATTTTGCACTAGGAAATAATACTTTTGATGGAGAGCTGTAACGGCCCTTTGTCTCACCTCCCAGGGGTAATTTGGTTATCTACTTGGAGGAAGTGAGCGGTCCAGACTGCATGTCCCCTTTAATGGGCCATTTCCTTCGGTCTCCCGAACACTTGCGGCACTTCAGGCACCCATGTAACACGTTGTTTGTTTTCGGTACGTTATTTGGCAGACTTCTTACACCTGGTTTGAGCTTCAAGGGTTAAGTCGGTTATCAGTCGCTGGTGCAAAACCCCGAGCAACACAGCTGAAGAGAAGAATGTCTTTTAGCTCACAGTTCCCGAGCTCTCGGTCCACAGTCACTGGGCTCTGCTGCTTCTGGGCCAGGCTGAAGCAGAACATCCCGACAGGAAGTACATGGCAGAGGAAAGCACTCTTCATGGCCGACCAGACACTGAGGAGACCCCCTGTGCTAGCCACGCCCCTCCCCCTTTTAATTCTTTCCGGGCCCCTGGCTTGTGGGGTGGTGCCACCCAGATTCAGGACAGGTCCTCCAGCCTCACAGGCACACCTAGAGGAGCGCCCTGTTCATCCAGGTGCTTTTCAGTTCCACTGAAGTCAGCAGGCAGGTTGGCCACACCTCCAAGTACAGGTATTTTGACACAAGAAGACAATGCTGCCCTTCAGCATTGAATTATACTTACGCCTTTTGACTTTCATTATTATATATGAAGTGTTCATTTTCCTATGTTCATTTCTTTACTCTTCTGATACTACCAGCCTCCTGCAAAAGTCACACTCTTAGTATTATTTTGCAATAAATTGGTGAGATTAGTCCAGGCGGTGGTGGCACACGCCTTTAATCCCCACACTCGGGAGGTAGAGACAGGTGAATTTCTGTGAGTTCGAGGCCAGCCTGGCCTACAAAGTGAGTTCCAGGACAGGCTCCAAAAGCTACACAGAGAACCCCTGTCTCGATAAACGAAAAAATAAAATAAAATTGGTGAGATTAAAACTTAAAGGGGCAATGCCCTAAACAAATATGCCACTATTTGGTGCAGATCATTGAGTGTGGATTTCTCAGAATAGACCCCTCAGAACTCAAGTCTTTACTGAGGCGAGACCAGAGGCCTTGACTCTGGGGAATAATTAAAAGCAAATGGGAGCCAGTGTGGTACAGGCATGAGCAGTGTGCACAGGGAAGGGGGGCATTAATGAGCTCTTGTTCAGAAGCTGAGAAGGGTCCACTCTCTCCAAATCACAGCTGAACAAACTCAGAAGCCATGGCCTTCCAGTTCTCAAAGCCAATAGAGACTCGCTGTTCCCTGACGCACCCTATCGACCATGCTGAATATCTTATGTCCCCTTCCTCCGTGCCTTTCAAAGATTGCCTTCTTCTAAAACCATTAGACTGTTTTTTCTTTTGTTCTGGTTTATAAACTGATTCTGGATGTAAAGGGACAAGAAGAAATAGAAAATATTTGGGAGAATATCATTTTGATTTTTAAAACTTTGTTTTGTTTGTTTGCTTTTTGAGATAGAGTTTCTCTGTGTAACCCTGACTGTCCTGGATCTCACTCTGTAGACCAGACTAGCTTCAAACTCACAGAGATCCGCCTGCCTCTGCCTCCTGAGTGCTGGGACTAAAGGTGCAGGGCACCACCGCCCGGCTTCATCTGAAGTACATACTGAGCAGAACTCAAATACAGATGCCTGTGCTCTGTTTGTACGTGTGAGTATTTGAGAGGATGTGTGTAGTAGTGAACTCAACCGTTACCCCCAGAAATGATCTGATATGGATTTCCCACTGGATTTTTAAAAGATTGGATGATCAACCCTTGGGTAGAGCTTCTTTCCTGTCTTGCCGAAGCGACTGAGCCGTCTCCCTTCGGTGGGTCTGACTGGAGTTTTAGAGGCACTCGCTGCTGGGGGGCTGCTCTTCCCGGGCAGATAATGTTGGAATCAGGGACAGCAGGGTGACCAGGTCACACTGACCCTGGGAGCTTCTGGCTTTGGGTGGAGGCCACAGACCTATGGAGGGTAGGTCACAGGGAGCTGTGACCGTCGGAGAGATTGGGAAAGGCATATCTTAAAGATATTTAAAAAGAAGTGTGTGTGTGTGTGTGTGTGTGTGTGTGTGTGTGTGTGTGTTGGGGGGGGGGGTGGGGGGGGGGGAGTGGACACTTGTGCCTGTAATCCCAGCACTTGGCCCGTGGAGGGGGAAGGAGAGTTTGTGAAACACTGTCTCAAAAAATAAATAAAATAAAATAAAAAAGGGGCCGGGAAGATGGCCCAGTGGATAAAACGCTGCTGCACAAGTGTGAAAACCTGTGTCCAGACCTCCAACAGCCTTGTAAAAGCCAGGCTTGGCAGCCCCTGCTTGTAGCCCCAGCACTGTGGGACAAAGATAGGCAGATCTCCAGGGCTTGCTGGACAGCCAGGCTAGCCAAAGTGAGCGCAGGGGTCAGTGAGAGACCTGTCTCCTCAAAAATAGTGTGGAGGACTGATTGAGGGCGACGTCTTGTGAAAAACCTCTGCTCTCCCTCTCTCTCTCTCTCTCTCTCTCTCTCTCT